AGTTAATTAGCTGATTTTAGAGGTTGTTCTTTTGTTTTAGTAATTATGCAAGTTTTTGATGTACTTCATTGTAAAGGGTTACTCGTACAATATTTGGTATTCAGCCCAGTAATAAAAAAATAATTTGTTAAACACTTATTCTGCAACTTAGACAAATAGGTAAACATGTCTCTCTACAGAAAAGGGAAACAAAGGAGGAGGAGGCTGGAGCAAACACAGTTAGAGGTGCATTATTGAATGATGGGTTGTAAGCAAATTAATGCACAATATACTTGAACTGATCAGATTAGAGGGCTTCATTCCAGTTCCTGTTTTTATATTGCAAGATAGACTGCCGTAGAATGAATGACAATTGTGTTGCATGATCTATTAAACCTTTACTACTGTGAATTTCATGAATCCAACGATATTTGACAATCTTGTCACACAAGTCCCAATGAGTTTTCCTTTAGGCATCAGATGAACCTAAAGAAGACAGGGGGAATTCTGAGTTTTCTTTAAGGATGTCGGACTAACAAACATGTTGTGTCACTTCACATTTACTGTATCAAATTGTGGCTAATTGACAGCAAATTCCAGGGCTGCTTTTGTTGTTGTTGTTGTTGTTGTTGTTTTTCCAAAATTGGAGTCCTGTCTATCTCTGCATGTGTCTATGTGTGTATACACACACACTCAGATTCATAAGGAGAGAACTGAGCCAACACGCTTTCATTTACTGCGGCTGGTAATTGCTGCTGTCATTCTGTCTGTCTTATTAAAATGACAAGAAACTGTGCCTTGAGTTTAACACATACACTCGTGCAGACTGCACACAGAGCTGTGGCTGACTTGTTTTTACAAGACATGATAACATAGCTGGTATTTTTTCACCTTGTGTGTGTGTGTGTGTGTGTGTGTGTGTGTGTGTGTGTTTGTGTGTTTTGGAAAAATTGTCATCTAGGAGATGCCTACAGCATGCCAACACAAAGGAGGCTTTGAGTACTGTGGACAGATTTGTCTATATAATAGAGTCACAACAGCACAGATAGATACAGTCATGAACATCCAGAGGTGTGTAAGGTGAAATCAAAATGATAGGTGGGTGTGGTCCAAGTAATGAGAACTCCTGTAATTGTTTAATTGTCATTTAGTTATCTCTACATAGTAATCATGGGTTGGAAGCCACAGGTTTACAGGTATCAGTGATGTGATCTTGATGTGTTCGTCTTCGTGAAATTAGTTGTTCTTTTTTTCTAGCTAGCTAGATGTTCCTTTCAGCAGGTATCTATATCTCAAGAGCTGTCCACTTCTAATTTCAGCCCCACGAGCCTGCTCAGTGTTTGTTGTCGTGCTTATTCCCCATTATTTTTATTATCAGTAGTCCATGCTACCGTATTGTTTGGCCAGTTTATGCTGTTGGCAAATTGTTCATAATCATACTGAGAAAAGTAAAAACAAATAAAAAACAAAAATAGGAGTGGTGGATGTTTATATGCTTAAAATGGGTAATTTCAGCCTGTTGCTAGGTAGTTGCTAGGCAGGTGAAATTAAACTTTAATGGATATAAATGAGGTATTATTGTTGTGAAATTAAAATGGCAGGAAGACTTCATGAGGTGGTAGAGGTGCATAAAGGCTAAAACCAAGTCATTTTATCCTGTTGCCAGGCAACGTGATAGCGTCATAATACATCAGGTGTAATACTAATTTTGTGGATATAAATGAGATGCTGTTGGGATAGGATGTTTTTATAAGGTATTACAGGTGCCTAAATGCTAAATATTGTCATTTTAGCCCATTGCTATTTGGTTGCAAGGCAACATAGTGACATCATATTATCTCATTTAGTGGAGGATTTTCAAGGGTCTAAGTTGTACCAAAACCATTGAATGGAAGAGTTGTGTCTTTTTCACAGCAATGGCTGCTCATGGAGCCTCACAACAGATCCCAAAGGAAGCGTCATAAACTAAGTGCGCCATAGAGATATAGCAGCACAGTCTGAGATTCATTTTTAAAATATAGGAAGTTAAAAAACAAGTCTGTATGTTCTTAGCACACATTTCAAATGCCCTTTAAGCAGTTGGAAGAACTATTTGAAGGCTACATGACCCACATTATGACCCCAAATTGGGAACCCCCACTGATAGGACTCCGACTTATTCAAGGACTCTGAATTGTACATGTGTGCTCAGCTCCTGGTGGTTCAGAAGAAGTTGGAGGACAAAGACACAAACAAACACGCAGATGGAGATTGTAAGATTACTGCTATTAAACCAATAAGTATATTTGTTATTATGGTCGTCATCATCAGTATGGCAACCAGTTTGACACCTTTTGAATTGAAAGCTGTTCCAGGTGTCTCCCAGATCCTAATATATTCTCTCTTTGCTATTCTTTTCCATCCAGCCATTCAAGGCAGACAGCTGCTTATCCTGGAGCTGGTTGTCTTGGAGGTTTCCTTTCAGTACAAAGAGAGCTTTACTCCTCAAGGATGAACTGCCGGCTTTCTCTCTTGGTACTGTAAGGTGTTGACCTCTGTTTGTAAAGTGTATTGAGATGAAAAACTGCATGTCAGGATTTGAAGAAAAACTAAAGTGAACAAGCTGCAGAAATAAGGAATTGTTTTTCAATGACATCTGTGGCTCATACCAAAGGTCTTCATGTCGTAACAACGAACACTAATAATGAGAAAAGTTTAGCCCACAACAGCTGAATGAATATCTTTTTTCAAATGCCACAAGTACAGTATTATAGACAAGCATGTGATGTAGAATATGTAGATGCACATGAAATATTCATGTGCAAATATTCCCCATTCTAACACCCCACCTTCCCTCCCCACTTCACACACATATCCGCAGAGACAGGATGGCCTGTGGACAGATTGACTGTGATCAGGACTTTGACCTCCGTGATAACCGCAGCTCATTTCCATTTGCTGTCCTTGTTGCCTCACACACCTCGCGCAGATAGAGAGACAGACTGTGTATTCACCGGACTGAAACTCCCACATTCCCACAAAGAAGATATGCCAGCCTCACTGGCAATTCAGTTCACTACTTCTTCGCACGTCACATTCAGATAAAGTTCTCAAAGGATAATAAAAATTCTCCTAATCTCTTTGCTGTGTCCTCCTCTGTCCCACAATGCCTTGGGGCTGGCTAAGGCTGCAGATTGACATGTCTCCATCTTAAGTCTCAATCATCAGCAAGGCTTTAAGTTGGAAATGACTTTCTGATCTCATGGACTCCTTTTTAGATTTACTGAGCAGAACAGAGGGTTACACTTACTCTACCGACTTAATCTAGCAAAAAATAAAATACTTAAAAAAAAAGTCTTGATTTGATTTGACCTGGAAGAGTTTGGGAGTAAAGTGAACCTCAAAAGCTGGAGTCACTTCTGCTGTAAGTGGTTTGGCCAGCATGGGACTATTTATGTTTGTTAAAAAAGTAGTATGACTCAAAGTCAACCTTTAATCACTCATGTAAATCCCTTCACACTTTGGCTTTAAAATGCTTTCTGTGTTAGTAAATGTTAGTAAATGTCACTACATTCAATGTACGCTGTCTAATTTTTATGTCTTTAGGAAGTGATTATTAGAGAGTGACGCATCAGAGCACTGAACAAAAACAACAAAAAACTCATATAGAGATAATGGAATAAGTTGGGCAAGAGTTGACACATGGATAAAAAGATTACTGTGTGCATTATAATCTCCCAAATCTCCACACATGGCAGGCAGCAGGCAGGAGATGTTACTGCTGGTGCTTGGGAGAGGAGGGAGCAGGCAGCATGCTGCCAACATAAATCAGTGTCATGGCCTTGAGCCACACCTTACTGGAGGAATGCCACTGAAGCACTTCCCTTGCTTTCTAGTGTCTTAATGCATACTCAGTGAGCAAAAAGGACTCTCTAATATTGATAGAGACATTTAATTTGAAAGTAATTTCGAACTGAAATGCCTGATTTATCAGTGAACCGAGTGTGACTTTTAATCACTGCATTCACCCACCTGTCTCATGGCCACGCCAGTCACAGTATGAGAGTATTTTTCCTAAACTGTCAGGCAAAATATTGTATATATATAATATTTCCAGTGCCCTTTTTGGTTCTTGAGATAAAACGCCACAGAAAAATGTCCGTCTCCTTCCTAAAACTTTTAGCTTTCAATTTGATTATTTACAAAGCACGCCAGCTGCCTCAGGTCACCTTATCCTGTGAGGTGAAAACCTTACAATATTTCAGAAAGAAATCCAGGTGTTTAATATCTCTAAAAAATATAATATTTTCTGATCTCCCAGCAAATGCAATTTTCCGTTTTATAAGCCTACCTGTTTAGACAACACAGATAAAGACAAAGACACTTTCTATTTTAATGTCCTTTTAATGCCTGTTTTTTTCTTGTCTGACATTTCTTGGAAGCACAAAAGGAAACCAAACACAAACGCACACGCACACACACCCAAGTTATCTTTTAAGAACAAGGCGCACGCTGTGAATGCAGCTTAAGCACGTGCATCCCCCACGCATTTTTTCCAAGACTCTGTTTGAAGAAAAAAAACAAAAAACAAAGATTAAATAAATGTGACTCATCTACGTCTTACTCAACTAACACTGAGCATCACCAGTACAAAACCGAAGAAATAAGTCACGTTGATGAAGAAAAAAGAAAACACTACGATCATAGTATTTACATGATGCATAAGACGTGAAAATGTAAGCAGGACACGGTAAAAATTCTTTAAACTGAAAACACAAAGTTAAATTGCCATTAAAATAAAGCTGGAAGTCACTTCCATCAGATCTTTTTTGCCTTTTTTCCCTCCGCTCTGTGAAGGAAGTCATCTGCTAAATATCAGTCTTTTGTTTGGCTGCCATTTAGATGAATCACTGGCCGCCCCCTCTCCTGTCTCAGCCTGATATGCTGTTATCTCGCAGGTGGGAAAAAGTCGGACACTGGTCGCAGAATAGCGAAAGATGCGTTTAATGACCAGACAGACATTTGAATGGGTGGGACTAAGTTCATCTAGCCAATTTGTAGATGTTTTGCAGGAGTCTCCGGCTGTATTCTCTGTGGTCGACCGGCTGGACTTCCATTACAGTTACCTTCACTCGACTCTCATCCTGTGGAGGAAACAGAGAGTTTGAGTTCAGTGCACAGCATCGGGTAAGGAAACAACAACTTTAACCTCTGTGATCAGCACGATTCAAGACTGCACATAATCATTAATCTACTGAACCAATTAAGACCCAAGCGGTGGAAAGTCTGCTTTAGGACTGAAACTTCCTGCTACTGACAGAGCTTTGCTGTCAGCTCAGACTTGTACCAACAACCTTCTTCTCAAAATCTATGCAAAAAGCCGCAAGGCCAGTAGATTTTATTGTATGGTCTAATTTCAGATCCTTTGGCAAGTGTGAGCCATGATGTCGTTAGTCATCTCGAGCTGAGCTGCATAATTTACATGGTATTTAATATGTTGATTTTAATTTGCATTGCCTGCTTCTTCTGTTTTGATACGTTGGAAAATCTCACAAATGTAAGAAAACGAGAGCGGCTTTTTTCCCCCCATGATGTAAGCAAATCTTGTCATCAAAGCGCTCTCTTTGGGAACCAGACACCTCTGATGATGAATTTAAGCATTTCACCTCAAACGGTGTAAATTCAGTAAGTCAGACTGAGTCCTGACTGTCGCAAGACTAAAAAAAATAAAAAATAAAAGGCTTCCAACATAAACAAGAACACAAACACTGGCTACTGCACGATCACTTCAGCAATATTTAGCAAAAACTCGTGTGATTACTCAAACCCAATGTACTGTGTGATTATAAAATGACCCTATGTGGCCCCAAGGCGGGAAGCAGAGCAGGAAAGGTGACACTTTCCATGTCATTTACAAAAGTAAGCAAAAAGAAGGATGTTCCACCTGTTCCCTTCATATTAATAAAAATGATATCCATAAAAACATATTCTAATCTGCCATATTATACAGAGCTACAGTGTTTAGTGCCTCGTAGCTTGAGGCTTCCTGGATCCACAGGCCAGCTTCTGTGTGAAGTTTGCATGTTCTCGGTGTGCCTGCGTGGGTTTCCTCCTCCCACAGATCAAAGACATGCTGGTTAGGTTAACTGGAGATTCTAAATTACCCATCGGTGTGAATGCGTGTTTGTACTTTCACAAACACAACAACAATTGAGATCGATAATTGTGTACGCAGATGTAAGTTGTCTCAACTGTTTGCAGTAAGAGTCACCATCAGTAAGTCAGATTCTGTACCATCAAACAATGGCATGATTTCCAGTGAAAGCATAAAGTCAAAAGCTCTTTTCGATCATAATCAGTGACAATTATTAAAGGGATTAATCCAGAGACAATTAGCAATTCACTTAGGATAACCAGCATCTAGGATTGAACATTTGTTCACACGTTGATTCCACACTTCTACTCGTATTTTCAATTTGCATCTACCTCAGGCAAATTAAACAATACGTGGGGGGAAGGGGGGTTTGAATCGGAGGTTCCACTTGACAAAAGGTGACAACTTATTTAAAAATAATGGTTTTCCAAATGGTAGGGTACTGAGAGGAAGAAGGCTTGGTAATTTAATATGCGCAGACTAATACTGCAATCGCATCTGGAGAAAACAATTACTTCGTAGCCAAACATTCACCCTTGTTCTCTAACTCAATTTCAGGCGGTGCGCTGAAGTGGGGTTCTTCCCTGAAGGAATAAATACCAGCACTTCTGGATGTGTAGACAAAAAGAAAAAAACAGAACACACACACATGCAAAAGTACAGCGCACAACTAGCCAATAAACATTTACACTTACTGATGCTACATCTTCAAAGAGAATAATTAAGATGCTGTACTGTACTGAGCAAAAAAATAACCCAAAACTACCTGCAGAGAAATATTATTCATTAACAATCCAGCACTTAGGTCAAGAATATCTTAACACATTCACACAATAGGTTTAATGGAACTGAAATGAATAGGATAAATCCTGGTACCATTTTTTCTCCCATATATCCAGTAAAATGTATATGCAAGGCAACCTTGATAAAGGATTCTTAAAACTTGTCTGAAAGTGAATTAAGCCTCTGACAAGGTCACCAACCACCTTCTGTTAAATTCTACTGTAGGACTTTTGGGTCAAAAGGACTATTTTGGCCTATTTGCAAGAAAACACTGGAAAACTATTGCCCAGGAACACAAGTGTCTAGAAAGTCTGGCTCCTTGGAAACAATCTCTCTCTCTCTCTCTCTTTCAGAATTTTCTGAAAACTTTTTCCACACTCAAGGACAGCAAAAAGGTCTGAGTGTAATGTGGTGTGAATGCTGTGTTAAGAGTGTACTTGGCTCTGAATGGCCTGTCTGTTAAAACAGGGAAAGAAAAACAGATCTCCAATGACACTAATAGATTCAATGAGACACAATCAATGTATTCACTTCAGACTGATGCACTTGGACTCTGACACAAGCACAGATATATGTGCACTAATACAGCAACAAATATTTAAGATGAATAATCAGCCAGCCTGGAACAGATTCAAAGACTAAGACTTGAACTTAATTATCACATCTGAGTACTGGTTCGAAATCAGATACACATTTCTTTGGATTGTCTTTTAAACAAATGCAAATTAAAAGATTATGTGTAAACAGCGCTCTTTAGTGCTCCGTAAATCCAATTCACCATGTTGTGAATTGTGTGTGTGTAGGAGAGGAAGATGAGCCTCTACTGCACTCAGTTCTGGAGCACTAGTTTCTGATTCACTGCACATGCTCCTGCCTTTGTAAGGCACCACCTTAATGAAAGTCGGCAGACAGTTAAGACAGAACTTTATTTAAATACAGCATTTACATTTTTATTTACGTCTGTTGCCAGCTGCGTTGGACTTTTTCATCGTGTGAAGGATTTGCAAATTTGTTTACCTGGTTGTGAATATAGACCAGATGTTGTGATGATAAATGCACATTTATCATCACAACATCTGTATAAGAGTCTCCCACTTTTATACCTGTCGTAAAGTATAAAAGCAGGCCAATTTTATCAGTTACTGCTTTGCTTCTTGTACTTTCTGTTTTCAGAGCTCACTTGAGCAAAGTAATCTATTCTTAATATAATATTTGTTAAATGCCAAATGTGAAAAACCTGGCAAACCCCAAAGCTTTCAGAGACTACACCCCCAACAGAGGGGTATGTCAAGTTGCCTTAAGCAATTTCTGCAATTTTTGAAAAAAACAAAACAAAATGTCAATCACGTCTTCCTCATGTAGAGATTAGCCAGGTAAGAAGGGGGACAGAGGGAGTCTGACCTTCATTCTTAAACTCTCAATTATCATTCTTCACACAGCTGTCACCTTTAAAGCAGAGCTAAAAGAGACTGATGCTCTTCAGCACCGTCATCACCATATTTAAACAATTATTGTGGCTT